GGCGTGGCCTCTGTAAGATCTTTGAATCAAAACACAAACAGAATGATGAAAAGATGAAAAATGTGGCACGTGTACAAAACTACAAGTTAAAAACTTTGTTTTGAAAGTTATTTAAATAAAAGTAAAAAATAAAGTCTTATAAAAGTCAAAGAGTTTGACACCTCTCCCATCAAATATTCATCCGTCCAACAAAGAGATGTCCTCTCTCTGTCACCCTGGGGTCTGAAACACCTGGGCGGGTAGAATAGGATCCTGATTGGTCAGAATGTGAAGTAAACACACAGTAAACTGAGGTAACAGGTTAAACTGCGAGAGTGATTTCACTAGAGTAGCAGCTCTTGTGGCTCACAGGTGTGCTGCGTTTCAGGTACTTCCTCCACGGCGTGTGCAGGGAAGGCAACCGCTGTCTCTTCTCCCACGACCCGAGTACCAGCAAACCCTCCACCATCTGCAAGTTTTACCAGAGAGGGGCGTGTGCCTACGGAGAGCGCTGCAGGTAAGGCCCTGCCTACCTCTCACCTACGTTTGCATCACTGTGACTCATTTCACTTCCTGTTTGTGCTGCAGGTATGATCACATCAGGCTGTCATCCAGAGGAGGAGGGAGCGGAACTTCAGAGGACCTGACAGGGGGAGGAAGAGGAGGAGGAGGGGCAAGTAGGTCTGGCAGAGGCGGAGCCAAGAAGACGCTGGTGCTGAGAGACAGAGGTGAGGAGACGATGAAGCTCTTACAGAGTCACGATAATGATTGCAGATAACCCCGCCCCCTCTGTGTTTTCTCAGTGCTGGGCGTCGAAGACGTGTTCAGGGGCCCATCAGACAACTCGGGGTCAGAGGTCACAGCAGCAGCGACTGCATCTCCGCATTCATACGTGGATGCCATCAGGGCGGGTCTAGACGCCTCGGCGCAGGAACGAGGTAAGACTTGAGAATCCTCACATTTGATTGGCTCTTATTGGTAGCACGTGAAGATGTTTACCTGTGCTCTCTGCAGCTCCTCCTCCAGGGGGCGGGGCCTACCCGGACCTCCCCCAGCTGTGTCCCTACGCTGCCGGCGGCCGCTGTTTCTATGAGGACAGTTGTACGTATCTCCACGGCGACCTGTGCGAGGTGTGCGGCCTGCAGGTGCTCCACCCCCAGGACCCCGAGCAGAGGAGAGCGCACGAGAAGGTGTGCATGCTCATGGCGTTTCAGTGACCTCTTTGCGTTCGTCAGTGTGAGCGCACACAGATGTGCTGCAGCTGTAAATGATCTCGTGTCTGTCTGCAGATGTGTCTGCTGGCCTTCGAGGCCGACATGGAGAAGGCGTTCGCGGCCCAGCTCAGCAATGACAAGGTGGGTTGGATTTGTTTTGGGTTTGGTTGTCTTGGTGACCGGCCTTAATTAGTTACCTGTTGTTCAGGTGTGCTCCATCTGTATGGACGTGGTGGTGCAGAAGGCGAACCCGTCAGAGCGCCGGTTCGGCATCCTGTCCTCCTGCAATCACATCTTCTGTCTGTCCTGCATCCGAAAGTGGCGCTGCACCCGAAACTTCCACAACAAGATCATCAAGTAAGAATCCGACAGGTCAGGGGTCAGGGGTCAGGCACCAGGGTCAGGGGCTGGGTCTCTGTATACTGGGGGGAAACCAAGACTGATGGTGTCTCGTGAGATCTGATTGGGGCTTTACTTTGTTTCACTCTCGTTAGGACCCTTCCCTGAGTCAGCAGATATAATACAAAAGTCTGCTGAATAATAATTTCCTCTCATAAACATTTAAACTTCACCTAAATCATGCAGGTAGGTATTTTAAAATAACTGCAGATATTAAATAATGACACTCATCTCCAGGCTTTCCCAAAATATGAAGTTCACTTAAACGTTTGATATGTTCAGCTGGGATACCAAACGATCAAACTACACAAATAATCCTCCAGTTGCAAGTCTTTCTTAAATGTTCTGTAATTTCTAAAGAGACTAACATTAAACATTTCAGAATTCCAATTTTGCCTTGTGTGATTACACTTTTCATACACCTGTCATTCACACCTCAGGTATGTTCTCATGTAGGCCTGTTCGATATAACAATACACAGTGGAACAGTTTAACAAAAAATTCAAGTTACGAAGGCGCTTAACGACAATATTTCAGCCCGTGTTACGGCAAAATGCCCGCGTAACAAAATCCACTGGCTCTGATTGGCTGAGCCCAGAACGCCTACAATGCCCACAATGCCTTCCGAATCATGTGACAACCCCC